CCCCAAAACCCCAAAACCCCGTGAAATTTTATGATTAAACAAATGGTTCATTATGAAATTAAGATTACAGTTACAAAAATCATGTGTATAGGTCTATTAAAAGTTGTTGTCACTTTAATAAGAAAAAAGCTTCTTCATCATCTATTTCATTGAATGTCCTTCCTAGAATGTCTTTATTTGAACGATTCAAACCCTATTTAGATCTTTTAGATTTGCCTGCACTACCATTCTCATATAATAAATCTTCATATTCTTTTTACTAATTCTTGAATTTCTAAGGAAAAGCTTTCTCTATCTGCAGCAATATATCGATATTCTTTTAACTATACAAGCTAATTAAAATCTATAAAATTTACTATTAGTGCTAGAACCTTTTAAGACCCTCTGAGAAGTGTACTTTTTCAACCATAAATAGAATCTATTAGGAGTTTAATTATTTATGAATATCATACCTTAATGAAATATCCTTCATACTAATTCTCTTAATTCTAACTGCTTAGTGTTTTTTAGCTGAGACCTATTGTTACCAAAAGCTCAATCAATAAATCATTATCAATATATCTCTTTCCTTCTTCTCCAAGAGCTTTTCTTTTTCCAACTTTATTAATCATGGATTGCTGATGAAATGAAGCGAATACAGTGAATAGCTCTTTTAGTTTTACTTTGGAGCATAAAGATGGGAAAATATCATAAGTTTAGCAAAATCTAAGAGTTGCTTCAAAGTCCATTAGTCCTTCGAGAGTTGATTAGAATAATCGCATTAGAGGCTGAATTTAGTTGTAAAAAATCTTGATTAGGCCCTAAATATCAACATCTTACATTGCATCTAGCATATCTTTGATCTTGTCTTCTGCTATGAATTCAATTTCCTCTGCTTATGCTCCTTCCTAATCTTTTACTTCTTTATATTTATCATATTTATTCTACCGCACTGGAATCTTTTTAATGATATTTCTGGAAATAAGTTTGAAGAATACTGAGTTTTCGTATCTCTACATTTCATTCATAGTCTTTTCCAAATTTTCATATTCATTTTCATCTGCTCCTGAGAATGGGTACACTTCAGTTGATAATTACTTCAAAGCGTAAAGGAACTATTCAAAATTCAACTTTGCATTCTTAGACTTAGTTGTCTATTTAAAGATAATTTGAACTCTGTTCACTGAAACTTTGTGATATTCCTCTATGATGCCATTCTTATTTAGATTAATCTTGCCTATCTCTAAAGTATGATTTTGTTCTGAAAGTAGATCATACTCCTTTAAGAATTTTATAAAATTGTTCATTCCAAGTCTACTGCTGGCTTCAATCGCATATTATTGGTAAATTTTCTCGAGCTATCCGACATACTTATTGAGCTTTAAGGCAAACTCTCGACTATTCATCATAGACATCTCTAATTGGTTGGGCTGTTTATTATTTCTATTACCTCCACCTACTTGTTAGAAGAAATTCATCTAAGAATCTCTCTTTTAGAATTAACTTTATACTCCACTCATTACATTATCCTCTTCTATTCTAACATCATAATGGTTAATAAAGGACACTCTTAGACCTAATGCTCTAACTTGCTCAGTACCCTTAGAAAATTCTAGTTTTTCAAGTAATTCAGAGAGACCATTTATAGGGTAAAATGCATGGGCACATTTTAAGAGGAAATTAATAAGCATAGAAAATTTAAAGGTATGTCCTTATTCAAGACAAGCTACCTCTATCCCTAAGAAATCCGTTTTTTAATTCAATGACTCATCTAATAATCTGTTGAATTTTTGAATGTTTTTATTTTACAACAGAAATACTAGGTTGAAGTCCCTGACAAACCTCTGTAATTCTTTTTGAGAATCCTATTCATTCTCAAATCTAGACTTTTCCTTTTTAATGATAAGTTCATTTTTCCAATATAGTGGATATACTTTGGCGAACTTTGAAGCCAGACTTTTAATCAGTCTGACATCTTTTTCCCAGAGAGTTTTATTTAAAGTCTAGGTATTAATCTCTCTAATATTTTCTTAAGTGACTTAACTCTTTAAATATTCCTCGTATATGCTTATAGTAGCCTCTATTGGCTGCTTTTAAGGGAAGAGAAACTTCGAAATCGTCAAAATTGTTTTCAGAAATGATTCGTAAACCAGAGCAGAGTCGTCTTTTCTCTTAGATTGATAATAAATGATCTCAAGTTGCTCTTGATTAAGCTTTTCTGGATACAACTAAGCTATTGTAAATATATCCTTGAATTAATTGAACTTCATATAGCCATATTACTGGTTGTGAGAGCTATATCTCTCAAAAAGTGTCTTTATACCTGATTTAACTTGTTCTAGTCTTTTCTCGACTGAGATCTGTCTTTCCAATACTTCTCTTTTCTTTAGGGTTTCTTATTATTGATAATCATTGTACGATTCTCTTAATTGTTGTAAGTTTATTTAAAAGTCTTGCTTAGATCTAGCTGAATTTGATCCGTTTTATGAGGCAGTCCTAACAGTCATTGCTCCTGTGTTGCTGCTATGAACAAAGATGCTCATCCTTTCCTTAAAAGATCTAAAAGCAGGCTAGATATTATTTGCGTTCTTAGTTGATGTCGCCTTTGATTTATCCTGTTATGAGCTAGTCGTCAATGCAACTTGTTTAATGACATCTGGCTAGAAATCTGTAAAACTATATTCTCTTCCACCTGGAGTTCCCGAGTGTTAAGTATTGTATTATGTGTTAGATTGGCTCGGTAATTTGAAATTTCTTGAAATCATTGTCTTTAATAGATTTTTGCGAACTTTATTTAAATTAAAATTATAATTTTATAGCAAATAATGTTAAATTTAAAATTTCCTGCCAATTTATTGCTATGGGGTTTTGGGGTTTTGGGGAGATC